CGGAATGTGAGTTATGCTAAACAAGCAGCGTGAGCACACTATCGGTAAGCAAGGTTCAGTCAGGCGTAGCCGGGTGGACAGGTATTGATTACATATACATGTAGATGCAGGATATAAATACAGTTTCAAAAGACACAATACCTCCAAATATATGTCCAGCAGTGTAACATGACTCCTTACAAATCACATGGCAGACTTTCACAACAAAACTCCTGCACTAAGTCGTGGAATTTCACATAATTCTCCGGATAGATCTACCCACTGTTGTCACTGCAAGGGCAGATCACTCTGATTTTATGATTTAAACTTAAAAATTGAGATTTTGTATCCTGAAAATATACTTCACCCTCACCCTCGCCAAAGTTGCCACGTGTATACAGGAGTATCTGTGTGGCACTTAAAGTATGAAGTGTTTTAAAACGTGAATTTCAGGTCCTACAGACCTTCTACAATTCCCAACTGGAAAAGGAATGAAAGGAATGTAAAACATAACTTCAATTTAAATTTTACAAGTGTATGTATGTACATGTAGACTTTTGCCGTTCCTAGTGAATATTTACTTGTTCCGTAAGAGAAAAACAGATCAAGGAACAATACCGCAGTTCTGTTTAATAAGAAAGCGGAACTAGAAACCAGATACCACTTCGAATTTTCTTTGGGCGGGAATCAGACTCCAGTTTCGTTTATGAAAAACACAATGGATGGAGTTTAATGGAAAGGAATAGCATTCAGTGAAATCTGTGAAGAAAAAGACATTCTTGCTAGATTCATTCATTGCAAACCTATAGATACAATTAGTTGGATTTTTCTGAAACATGCTGAATAGATTCAGCTCAACGTAACAAGGAAAGCATCGTCATTTGTGATAGTTGTTAGTGATAAAAACATCAGAATATAGATATAAAAAGGACGATTTGAAAATTTTCCCGTGAATTTATACACAAATGCATTTAACTAAGATTCCGCAGTGAAATAAAGAAAAGTTATTTTCCTTACGTTACACTGTTTGTGACGTCATAATATTGATGATTTAATATGCACTTAAACAGTTACACAGAGAGCCTCATACAATAAAAAGGCCTAAAGACGATAGCATTATCTTGCTTTTTATTATATAAATGTAAATATTTTAATGACTGACATTGAAATCTGAAACGAACATTTGATTTCACATTCGTTTTACTACTCATATGAAATAAAACAATAAATCTATGGGCCAGTATCTCTCACCAAGACACATAATATGTATTCAAACGATCATTGCAAACTATTCTTACGACTTTCCCGGGGATATTGTCAGAACCTAAGACTGATATCCTTGTAACATACCTGCATTGATTAATTATGTCTAGAAATTCTCTACGGTTTCCAAGTTGTAACTCAAAGTGACAAAACGCTAAGGTCAGTTCATATATCACGAATTCCCTAGTCTTTTTGTCCAGCAGCTGTATATATAATGTTGGGGTGGAGACCTCAGTCATTTCAAAGTTATGAACCTTGGACAAAATCTCGAAGGAGAGAGCTAGACGATAGGACTATCCTGTTAACCGAAGAGCACCCGATTCTTTATTAAACGTCGTTACCCTGGGATTATTGGTTATTCAAAAAAGTGATTTGACATATATGACCTCTGTGACATTGAAAGTCTATCAAAGTCAGCCACTTTTACGATTTTGATAGCCACTTACCAGGTCACACCTCGAAAGTAAAGACTCTAGACATCATGAAGAGTTTTTGAAGCTTGTAAGCCAAAACAGTGAAGCTACACTTTGACTCCCTAGCCAATAACTACGACGCTGGAGAAAAGGGGATGACGATATGTGACTTTGTCGCAGGTGATCAAATGAAATCTGAGCAATTTGTATTCTTTTAAGATTGATATGAATTACATTACCTGAAATGTCATCACAACATTTTAAAGTTCACAAACTCTAGAGAGGTCAGTGATAAAGATCTCCCTCAAAAGATACTTCATCTCTTTTTGATTTACTTGGCGCGTTTATATGATACACTAAAAACCGACATATTCCACTGTTTTGGATAGACAGCACCATATATGTTGATGCCAGTAAGCCGTATACCCAAACTTTCACGTCGCAGGTACTGTATGCCATACACCATCACAGAAATAATGTTCTTAAATTTTACTTTAAACACAAACTACATATAAAAAATTGAAAATACACAATTAAAAGCTTAATTTTCTATTTCATTTTTTTTAAAGTAGTAAAATATTGCTATTGAATGTTCTGAAGTTAGTGGCAGGGATTTTTGGTCTCAACATGTCTTTGTTTACTAGTTATCATCGGCTGGATTGCCAAAAACGCGTGTGCAAACTATCGACTATTTAAAACAAAATTTTAAATTCATGGTAAGTATTGGAAATACAAACTTGTCCTCGTTCTCCGTGTTTCTACTTTCGTTAATACCTACAGCCACTGTAGCTCCTATACGGTGGCAAGACATAAAAGTTGTCTCCCTTTGTCGTTGTAGCGGTCTGTTGTATGACGTCTTTTTGAAATACATTAATTATGTACGTTGTATTTCAGAATAACAAAGGACTGAAAGCCAAAGGAGAAAATGGAAGGCGTTTGACTAAACATTCATCAATGAATTACCATAGTTACCTGTATCTGGAATGTAAACAACACAAGCGAAAACCCAGCCCTTTACGTTCCGGGTACATGTGCCTGTGGAATTACTACATTCAGATTTTAAAAAATGCTTTTGGAAGACTGTGACTTGTCTTATGTCGGTGAACTGACAATCAGATGGCAAGTACGCACAATAATGGCATTTCTTTTTTTAAAAATAGATATCTGGACACGAGAATATCCGATACGCCCACCAAAAAAGTCTTGTCCTTCTGCCATGATAGCAGCCCCACCGTCTTGTTGCAGCCGATGTTTTGTCAGCAGCATCACAATGGTACTACAGATAAATCTGCTATACATTCCTAATAATTTGTGTGATCTGAGGATCATTTTCTGCAAGTTCTACCTATATGTCGGATTATCTTTGTCAATTTTATATGACAACAGATATGATACTGTTTGGTGGGTGTGTTAGCCAACATAATCCTACCGTGTATGTAATAAGTGTCAGGTCAGTGACCATTGTCGGAAAATAATTAAAACACACGGATAGTTTGCATTGCTGACAATAAGTATACAAATGCATGTATGATGAAAGGAGGTAGGACAGAATGGTAGGGGCGCGAGAGGAGAGAGGCTGACCCATAATGACAATTGATATATTTAAATAAAGAATTACATTTCGTTAAGGCTTATAGCCTAGTGTTTGGCCGTTATTCTGTTTGATCAGTTTTACAATCTACACAGATGTTTGGCCGTGAATTTTTTAGTATGTGAAAATATCAGCAAATGTGCTGAAGCTTCAACCCAAGCTTGTATTTCAGAATCTTCGTTTTTTTCTTGAAGTTGAAAGACAGTGAAACAAATGAGACATCCTATGTGATTCCTATATGAAACCTATATTGTAGTTTACTCGTTAATTCAAAGTCATACTAGTAGCATTCTTATTTCTTCGTCAGTTCGGCCTCTGAAATGTTCGTATTAGTTTGCAGAAATTGAGAGTACAGGTCGCCTTACTAGTCTCAGCTAGTGGGAATTTCCCTTTAACCGAGCGGTAGTGTCGGGCAATAGTAGGTAACCCCAGGTTGGGCCTTTATCTTTAATACGTGATCCTTTACTTTTAATGGGTGACAATCTACATTTATTAATAGACTATTTTTCAGTTGTGAAGAAGACAGTAAAGTATATACTAGTACTCACTACTCTACAAATCTAATTCTCTACATAATTTGCTACAACGTCAAGGTTAAATCATGCTGCTATTATATCAAGTGCGTGTCATTTACTTTTTCCAACCCCTGGCTGCGATCTGGTTTTTCTGCAAGTGCCTTTTGAAAGGAGAAAACCGGAGATATTTAGGCAGTTGCTGCAATGTGAACACACCTCAAAATGACCCCAGCTGTTGCCAGGATACTTAAACAATGCCAGTTCAGGCATGGTGTTATTAAATGTAAAGATGTAAAACTGCATCACTCTGTAGCTGATTGCAGGACTCCGTATATCACTCGCTTTCCCGTGATTATCTTTCAACTACACCATGTTTAAGAGTAATCAAGGTCGTTGTTGTATACAGATTGTCAACAATTTCACAAGGCAGTTGTTTTTCTAATTCTTATTGCCCTGAAAGACTATTAATAGTCAATATATTTGAACAATACGATCTCATCTCTTTATGTGCGTGTTTGAAACGATCATCTAACAACTTTTTGTCGGTAAGGTTTCTCTTTCAAATTGGCAAACGGACACCAAACCAATATGATCCCTTTGACAAATTTCGAGTTACCTCCCCTTTCGATGACATCACCCTGGTCTAACCCAGTTATATGACGACTAAAAACTACGCCAGAAATAAATACTATTCTGGGCCTGGCCTTCCGATCACTTCTCTTTGTTGAAAGAGCTTGCAATTAGGATTCTTCAAAGTGTGAAATACCATTTGTTGAGATTGAGCTATACATAAATATAATACTTTTCAAGAGATGAAATTTAATCCTTAAAGTAAAAAGATTTTTAACTTGTACTGAATTGCATTTTGGATGTCTGGGTCTTTCTTTTTACACATACATGTCATCATTTTTCACCTTAACCTTAAAAATTGAAGTTTGTATATGTGATTGACATTTACATATCTATAATTCTTCATCTACAGACAGAATTGAAACAAGAGCTATGAACATTTTTGGATTTGATTACAGCAGAATCCATGTACTCTTGTTACATCTGTAATCAAGCTAGGTATACTTAAGTTTCTGCTGTTTGACATAGCAATAGAATCTAATAAAATCATAAATCTGTTTGGCTTGTTGGCCTAAAATCAACAATTTTAAATACTTGTAGACGTTACAAGTTGTTTCTCTGGTAAGCACACTTAAAAGATTTGCTGACAAACAAAAACTTTCAATCAGATTTCCTTCACAGTTCTTATTTATTACATAATTTACAGAGTTAGACCGACTCCAGCACTGGTGGTTCGTATCCCTCAGGCCGTGTAACTTGTTCACCAGATTCTGTTGTAACGGTCTTTGCTCCTCCTTCACCGTGAAGCTCCATTAGTTTTCCCACTGCAAATCAGAGGATGCATCAGTTCATCAACTTGAAAAAGCACAATTCTCACACAAAACAGTACACAAATCTCTGATCAATTTCAGCCTGTTCCCCTCTACTGTTATGCTTCCAATTACTGTCAAATTTCAACTATAATTTAAATATTTCAAGTACAACATAAAAAAGGAATTTTGTTGGAAAAGTACTATTGTGCATCAGGTTCTAATATCTAAGTGAAGCTTAATTACAGAAAGTATTTTTCTGATCATTTTAATCCCCACAAAGAAACTTAATCTCATAACATACATCGCCAGTGATGAAAAGATATGTTGTTGAACTCTTTGAAAGACCAAGTGGATCAAGAAATTCATAAGTCTAAAAATACACCTGTGCTTGTGCCACTGATATTGTGAAACTCAATAACTGAATAGTTGAGAACTTACAGTCAAACTTGGGCTTCTTCAGGACCTTGACTTTCCTGATGTACACATCATGTAATGGGTAGATGCCTTGGCAAGCTTTCTCAATGTCTTTGCCAATGCTGTCTGGGATTCTGCAAAAAATTATTTCAACAATATTATACTATTCCAAGAGTGAATATTCTTTGTATACACAATGCATCTTGAAATGTATCTAGTACTTTTAAAATTATTAAAATGTAATCTTCTGATAGATTCAGTGAATTCCAGGGACTTCAAATGTGGGTTTACTGGTATAACTACCAATTTCTAACTACAGAAAAGAGTGGTATTGAGATGGCAAATTATAGATAAAACAGAACGGCCATTTTGTCTGAAATGAAAAAAATTGTGTTATTGAATACTACTCTATAGGACCTGTCAAATTGACTTCATCATGTGGCTGAGATACAGTACATATCAAGTGTTGTGATACCTAGCAAGTGCAAAGTGTCATCTGGTTGTAGGGGATTATAATGCTGACAGGTGAGAGAGTTCACATCTGGACATCATTGTGATGACCAGTCATTATGAATTGGTAACAGTTTACAATGCAAGCAGGTACAGAGTTGTACAGCAACTTCTCATGAAGACTGGTGTATCATTCAGATGTTGTAGCTGATCAAAAATCATTGTATACCAGCTATACAATAATTAAATATCCCAACAAAGAGCATTGTGGAACAGAACAATATATGTTGATCTGATGCAAAAGAAATATTGTATTAACCCTTATCCTGCTGTGTATTCAATAAACAATGCCTCACTGCTGTGTATTATATGTGTATGTATACACCCCACAGCAGGATAGTTAATTCTAAATCAACAGCTCATATTCAGACATCAACTACTTTAATTACATATCATTCTGTTCAGTAATATTTATTCTATTCATCAGTGTAAATATTTTCAAGATTATTCTAATTCAAATGACAGAGCAGCTACAGGTAAGAAGTAGGTAATTTAAGTAAAACTGTCAGGTATGAAAAGATATTGAAATGAACATTACGAAATTTATAAGTAAGCAATTTGATATTGTTAAAATATTTTGTAAACAACTGATGGCTCCATGACCTCATTTATTGACCAGCTGGACTCTAAAAGACCAAACCTGTGACAATAACCGAAGTGTTAAGTGCATGATTACTTCAAAGTTTGTGCCAGTCTGGTTGAATGTAATTTGTTTCAAGCTATCGCTCTGCAATAATTTTGCTGTTCGAACTATCACTAGACAGAAACTAACTGTTTTAAGGGGTGTTCAAAACTACTAGCCCCACATTTTCACCTATCATTAAATGCTGTTTTTTTAAAATAATTTACTGTTTAATCAATAGAATTAATTCATTTCGTACATGTATACCACAGGTTTAGCGAGTCACCCTGAACTTCTACTTTCAAGATGTGTGTAATTTATTCTCCCATCTCATCTCCAGTGGGAAATCCTTAAGGCAACAAAGCATGCATTGGATCTTAAGTATTGGAGCTAATATCAATGAAATTGTTATCCCTATATTTCTCACAAAGAAATGTGTAACGGTTAAGTTTTTATTTATAAATTTGCAATATTTGAAGTATAAAGCCGACAAAATTACTGAGAAATGCATATTTCAGAAGACAATGTTGTGAACATCTATCAAGTATGCATATCTTAATGTAATGGAAATATTTTCTTTTATTATCTGGAAATCCAACAGTGGCTTATATTGATATTTTCAACGCCCATCAAAGCAGGCACTAAGCATGACGATCTTGTTTCAATTTCAACATCACCAGGATTTGCTTAATTTATAATTCAGAGCCATATATCCAACAATCAGTGACATGTTCACTTACTGTCTGTTCATATTACAATTCTTATCCAAATTATTCCTGCAATTCTAAAGCTAATTTGCATGTCAGTAATCTTGAATCTACATCTGGGTTGCTCCTACGCTTGAATTCTTAAATCCATCTATGACATAACCAAGTGTTTGATACACCTAGATGAAGGTGTTCTTTATATTTGAGAATCTTGACGGACGTGGGGTCTGGAAAAATATTTTAAACCACTAGGCACAGGACTAGTGGACTGAAAAAAGATTGGAAATTTACGCGTCCAAATTCAGCCATGAAATGGCAACTTAATCAGCAAGAATGCGACATGTGACTTTTTTTCTATTTTTATTTCTCAAGTTTTAGAGAAATAACTATGCAGTAATGACATTGTGCGCGACTCGGGCCTAGCTGTAGTTTGTTTCTATCCTACTGACTAGGTGCTGTTAAATACAGACTGGTACATGTTGGTACCGCTCAAGAGCAGCTGACATCAGTATGACCACGGCAAAATGACTAAGGTATTCTGAATGCTATATCAGACGTCATGGGAGTTCCAGTGTAATCAAAAGTTAGAGTGCAGACTGGAATATTTTGTTTTCGAACGAGTGCTTTTCTGGACCCCTGATGGACCGATGGAAACCACTTGTAGTTGTAAAACTTTACTACCCTGACCAATAAGTACAGAAAAAGATTGGCTTTTAAAAGAAAAAATTCACTAGCCTACAGACTAGTCAGTGTCCTGGTACAGCTAGTCCTGACCTGAAAATCACTAGCCTCGGATTTTATTAAAAAAAATAATGTGTTCAGTTTGAATTGACCGTAGGTTTACCATAAATGAAAATGTGAGTAATGGGTGCACATAAATTGTTATCAATGCAAATCCCATCAATTCTGGGATGTAAAATATGCTAATATGTTGCTTATTTAGAACACTGCTACACTGTGCAAGTGTCCGAGTACCATACCCATTGAAACATAATGTTAAAAGCTACTGTTAATGTCAAACTACAGTGAGACAGGACCGACATTATCAAAATTACAGAACTTACAGTTTGTTGACGACCTCCTTCATGTCATTTGATGATACCTCTCGTGTGATGATATCCACCATCTTCTTTCTGATAGTCTTCACCTATACAATGTTAATGGCTACAATTACCTTTCACTGCCAGTTAGATTTGAAAGTTCTTAAGTATATACATATCATACATCTTTATCATGCGAGTCGAAAAATGTGTATTCAATGTGATAATGATTGGTCTTAATTGAAACCATTAATGTATTAATTAATTAATAGAGCTGTCGAGTGATTACTTGCAACTAAATATTATAAATGAGCACTTCTTGAAAATGCCAGACTGCTGACTTGTATTCCCGGTAAGAAATGGTGCATATAGTTATCAGCATCTACCAGTGTTATGTCCGAGTGAAAATAGTCTGATAATAAAAGCTATCAACATAACAAGGCAATACGCATTAACAAGTAGGCAACACAAATCAAAATTCCCACGGCATACCTGTGTGTGCTGGGCGTAACAGGTTTTCTTGACCTGGTACTGCTTCTTCTTGGTAAAGCCGATGCAGAACATCCTGAGTAGGAATCCATCGGTGGTCTTCACATCCACATGAGCCTCAATCAATGTTTGCCATTTCTTGACCATTGAACAGAGCTTGTCTCTTGTCAGGTCCATGCCGTGGAAGTTGGTCAGTACGTTGCGACCTTGGACGTCTTCGGCCATCAACTTGAACTTTCTAAAAGACACCTCATCATTCTGCAGATCAGCCAAGGAAATTTCAAACACTCGACCTTTCAAACCATCAGAGGCAATTTCTGAAAAGAACAAATTATATTCTTTTCATATTTCATACACTTTTCAAGAATTTCAACATTTATAAGACACATTGAGATTATTTAGCTGACAGGAACATCTACTTGTACAAAAAATGGAAAAGTATTTTGGTATCAGAACGAAACAATAACACATAATTTTTTTTTTTTTACAAATCTACCGTATCAAATTATTCAAAACAAAGGGTTAACATTGCCTAAGAAAATGTATTCAGATAAATGCAACCATACGCTAAGAATATTTTTCAATAATTCCTTACTTGTTCCTTGTGTCCTCGTCACCAGAGTTTTACCAATTTGACGGACAACAAACATGGATGGTGCCTTAACATCATACCAGTCTTTTTTGGTGAAGGGATCAATTCTGAAATGAATAAATTTCTCTCAATTTACAGCTGACAATGTCTTATTAAATGATTTTATTTTAGAGAGCCTCCATTTGTAAAAACTTTGAAACAAATTTCTTAATCTTATGCAATAAAAAAATGTGCAAATCAAACCGAGTAAGCCATTTTATTGAACCATTAGTAGTTTCTGATATCATTGTCCATTATGACACCACAATCTAATTCTGACAGGCACAGCCACTATAAAATGCTGCTATGTAGCTAAAGGGTCTAAAAATCGTACTCCTGGTCTCCTGGGTACAAGTATATACCCAAATGAACACACTCTGTGGTATATGTAAACTCAAGTGATACAAGAAGTTAACATGGCGAGAAACTTCCAACAGGGGCTTCTTAAGTTAAGGGGATTTACCAAATGCTGAGTTTCCGAAGTTCAGATTTTTATAACGTTTAGAATAAAGCAATAACTTTTTTGTGAAAATCAACAAAAATCCAGGGCTCTCGTTCTACCAGATTTGGGGCCGAATCGGCCTCATTCCCAATGCAAAACAGTACCTTTTTTTCCTAATTTAGACCCCCAAGTTTTCCCAATTCTAAGGAAAATGCCGCTATTTTTCCCAATTCTAAGGGCCCTGGGCCCCAGTCCCAAAATGGGGTGTGAAAGCCCTGAAATCGCGAAAAGGAATGTAAATATGCACATGGTAAATAAAATTGCAATGCTTTTACTTTATATCACTTGTTATTGTTTCATATAATTGGTAAATCTGAATTTTTCATTGCCCAAAATGGCCCTGTTAAGGCTGTTGTAAAGCTAGGTGCAACAATTTGATGGAGTTAATGAAGCTAACTGTTAAAAGATTTTTCAGGCAAGTCCAGAACACCAGTTCACAAATTCTAACAAGTCCAATTTTACTAAGAAATGAAGCGAGTTCTGAAAATTTTAGCGAGTTCAAAAGCATGAGCCCAGGACTTGTATTTCGGAGTGCAAGAAATCATTGGATAGTGATTGAAACATTTAAATATAGGACAACTAATACATGAACTGAAGTACACGTAGTTGTCATCAAGCTTGAAACTGTAAATAGACAAGGACATAATTGGATCTTTCTTGCAAATGAGAAAAACTAAACTTACTGATTTCGGCTACTACATTTAAACCGAAATCCCCACACTGATTGACGTATAATAGGCTAGCCTGTGTATTATACGTAAATTGGTGTGTCAGTGAGCTGACTTTTTAGTTTAGTAACAATCACAAGTTCTCCAAATGGTGTCGCTTCGCTTAGCATATTTTATACGAGAGAATCGACATACGAGAGGTTGTTATCCGTATTTATGACAACCAAAACACATTGCAAGAATCGGACGTGTATTCGAACGCCTACACAGCCATGCTAACTGAACACTAAGGCTGATTATAATTTCGGCATTATTCAAGGGACGAAAAGAAGACTGAAATGTAACGTTATTGCATGTAAATATTGTCGTTTCACGTGTGTGTTCCGGTGGATTTGTGATTTACAATCTACTGGAATCATACAATAGTATCCGCATCGCTCGACCAGACATACCCAATTTGACGTATATATATTTGGAGTATGCCATATGTTTGCCTAGTGAACTTACACCTTCTTCTTGGCTCCCTTTTTGCCACCTTTAGTAAGCCTCTTATTTTTTCCTACGGCCATTTTGGCTATTTGAGGCGAAAAAGGAAGTACATGTACACAAGATCAAGCATTATGGGAAATGTTCATCTATATCAGGGAAATGTTTTAGTTGAACTTTTAATACTATTGCCACTTAAGCGTCTGTTTAACCTTGATAGCTGTAGCAGACAAACTAAACAAGATGACACTAGACGGCAAAGAATTAGTGTATGCAAATTTACCAGATTATGAAGATCCACCCGAATGGATACATCCACATGATGTTCGTATATTCAACTTTATAAACATTCAATATTTTTCTATCATATCAACAGTATGTGATCAGTGGCCATGGCCCATGGGTTATTGGCCAGAGAGCGAGACGAGTATTCTTGGCGCATTAGTTTCGGATCCCTCAAGAATCATTGATCGCTAGCATCGCTATATTAACGAATTGCCACCAAACAAATACATAAATGAATTCAAATGTGTTCATACTATATGATTTATTTAAAAAAAACTGGTCAGTGAAACACCTGTATTAAAAATATCCACATATCCTACCTCAATTTTGCTTACCGGTAATGATCGACATGTGTATCGGACATGTGACTGAACTTGCGTTTCTGATATCATCACCAAATCACAGAGAAGCTTGGGTTAGCTTACAGTGACCCATAAGTACACATGTATTACATAAAACCATCATTTGAACGGAAATTCCATTCCGATGACAGTAAGAAAATAAAAATGATGACACGAAAAATGGCGGGTATCAGTGTTTACGTCTACCACTTTCTTTAAAAGGGTTAGATTCGAAATTTTATTTTTTTGGTTGTTTTGTTCTCAAATAAATCATGTTTCAGGGCAAACTTGTTTTTTATAACACAAACTATTTAAAAGAAGTTAATTTTTCATCTGTCGCAAATTTGAAATGAGTCATCAAATGTGATAACTTAAAAATCACCACTTTTTCAATACAAGATGTAAGATGTACTTGTTTGGACTTTGTTCTTAACACCAGCATTCAAGGATAGATTGATTGGTTATTTCATTATATCTGGGAAGGTCTTGTACATTTAAAAATATGTAGGAAGGAAAATTACACAAATTTACCAAAAAAATATATATTCTCAAAAAATTTATGGTGGATGGTTTTAATCACAAATTTTCATTCTTACCAGAGCCTGACTTGTTACAGCAACCAAAATTATCCAGGTGTGAGGTCAAGCAGTATCTAGACGATAGTTTGCATAAGTGTTAAAAACAGAACATCAGCAGGACAATATAACAGAACGATATGTTTCACTGACTTTTCCCAGTGTCATATATATATATATACCAAATTAAGCAAAACTGTAGATCCATGGAAAACAGACTATATTAATTTGGAAAGCTCATGTTTGTATGTCAATTTTACAACTGATCAATCATGAGTGCACCTTTTTTTAAAGAAAAATAAATCAAACAATAATAAACCAATGATGAAATTGCTTTTGAAGCTCAGATTGCAGTGAAATGATATTCCCAAGTTTGAAAGGAAACCCATTTCATATAACTATGATGAAACCAAAATCATGCTAATACTTTACACTAGAAACTAATTTGACATCTAGTGTCTGGTAAGTGTCAACAACTCGCCAAATTTGTCAAGTCAAACTGATATTATATGGCCATAATACTAAAATTGACCTCAAATTATGAAAAATGCTATAATTGCTTGGTGTTTTATAACTTTTGTATCTGATCAAAACAATGCTCAAACATAATATTAAGATGACGCCATATACATATACCCGCAAATTGTATAACTACATAAAATCATTGATTTTCATATAAGGTCTGTGTCCTTGATGACCTCTAAAAATGCTCTGTCAACCTTGATTTTGACCAGATATAAAATGACTAGAACCAGATGATACTGACTGGTATATGTTTACTGGAAAGGACTCTGGAAATTGTACCTAAAGCATGTGATAATAGTGTCAGTATCTGAAGTTTTTGAGTTGCAAGAAATGATTTTACTTTGTTTGATATACCATATATATATTTAGTCATATAAACTAAATAGCTATTTCAGGAACTTATAATCATTGGATTGTCTATTAATCATTGTGATCTTGCTTTTTGTAGAGGCCTTACAGTGAGGATTACAATAATGACATAAACCATTTCTTGCCGAGACAGTTAATTCTCCAGCGTAACCAAGTTTCTGAGCAGGTATTTATGTGTTATATTTAAACATCTAATTGCATTTTAAATGAACAGGGTTGATTCTGTAGGTAGGCACATGTAAATCAGTTTGTAGTAGGCGTTTGCAGACAGTGTATTAGAAGTTCATTTTATTCTTGATTAATATTTTTGGGTGTAAGCATCTCTTGAATACTTTTCAAAATATTAAAGGCAATGGATACCCAAATGTTAACTTATTTAAATTTAATTCAGTGTAAATACTGTTACATAACTTTAAGTATTGTTAGGAAAAGAAGGTGGTCAAGCTATCCTTAGTTTGTAGTGATCTAAGTTGAGTTGGTTTCAATAACTTAAGATGTCCTATGATTTGGTCATAGATATGCACAACATTACAGATGATCAAAACCCATGATGTCATGTTAAAGTGTAAATAATTACTTTTTTTTTTAATTTTCACATAATTTTATGTTGTGATGAGTTTGTTAAATAAAGAAAAAGATCATTCTGAATGCAGCTGATGAATTTCAGCTAAGGTTGCCATCGTGCTTTGTTCTTTTTTGTTCCGTAAAGCTAGAAAATGTTGATGTACAGGAAGAGAAAGAAAAGTAATAAATAAAGACAATATGTTAAGAGAAAGTTGTTCACACTGTTAATACATTAGATGGATCGTTCAGGACATGTTTAGATTGTAATTTGATGTAAGAAAGGACGTAATTTTAGCGAAAGTCTTACGCGAAAGATGGGTCCTGTAATAGTTTTCTTTGTTTCTGGCAGCTCGGATTCAATATTAGAGGCGGCAAGGAACACCATTGTGGGATTTATGTGTCTAAGGTAAGTGCTTTTCAACCTTCCTGTCTCTCTGTCAGAAATGTGTTTCAATAGCTGCATGTACCACACTTACATGATGATTATTGACGTTATGTAGAGTTAATGAAATTTTAATTGAGTTTATCTCAGAGGTTTACATAATAAAATGCAAATTCCATTCACATTGATAAAAAAACCAGGCAATGAATCATAAATAAATAAATACAAAAATTTGATGACTTTAGGTATTGTGGTATTGTGTAAGAGTTGTCTCTCTTGTTTCTCGGGTAAATAATGTAAAGTTTTGTAGGTGACAGTAGACAGTGAAGCTGACAGACTTGGATTGCGGGAAGCAGATCAGGTAGTATCTAAATAGTAGATTTAAAGTATGATAATATGCTTCTATTATGAAAATAATAGTGAATCCAGGCTAAATGAAGGCATATGATATCAGTCTATGTTGCAGAAAAGAATTTTTGTTCAATATTAATTGATGTGGTAATCATTTATTCCACTTTATACTGCGGTGACAAATAAAAGACAATACAGATTAGTTGGGTTAAGAACACCAACGGTTAAGTGACTTTTCCTGATTACATCACAGTATGAATCAAAATTGTTATATATATCTTTCTTTGAATTATTTTATTTCGTTTTTCCAGATTTTGTCAGTAAACAGAGTCAACTTTGAGGATATAGATCATGCTGAGGTATGGAATTATCAGATCAATGATAAATACTGTGAAAAAGATATATCATCCTGTTCAAATATACAAGTGTTTTTTCTACACCTGGTTAGGGACATTTCAGTAAAACATCTCTCCCACCCCAGGGTTTCCAGGTTTTGTTTAGGAGTACCATCCATCTGAAGTTTAATGACTAATGATTTAGTTGGGAAACTGAAACATGGATAAAAGTGATTTATTCCTTTGGTCTAGAAGATACTTTGCTAAAATAATCCTTTGTTGTCCTGTTTATATTTTTGTATTTGACATACTCACCAATCAGTCAAAGACTATTATTGACATATCCTTTTTATCATTTTTTACTGTTAAGGATGGTATGGACTCCCTGTTGACTTACACTCTGTAGCATGCAAAACTAAATTTAGATAGATGTTCTATCTAGGCTAGGTTCAGGCACAATTTAGTTCAAAGTTCACTTTTTGAATTTGACTATTTATATTATCATTTCCTGTTAGTGAATAGAAGCACTCTTGTCACTGTATATGTTATATATTTATCTCTGTGAAGTGACATTTATCATGTATCCATCCTTTTGTTGACCGTGTCTAGATATTCCTGCATAGAGTCTGTACTTTCTGGAGATATTATTTCACCATACAGTTTAGCCTCACCTGAAACATTTTAATCATATTACTTACCACATGTGTTTGATGGTTTTCTAACATCAGAAACAAAATTGGTCTGAGAAGGTTACCTTGTGAAACTTCCATTTGTTACTGAGGTTGTTCTTGATGATTTGCCAAGCGATCACTTCATGCTGTTCCATGCCACAAAGAAAACATTATATCCAGTACCTAATATTGCCTCTAATGTTGTATCCTTTTACTTTATCTATGAGACGTTTTTGTGGAACAGTGTCAAATGCGATACAGGACATCTACAAGGTTCTTATCAAAGGATTCCATCCAACATTCCATAATTTCCATAAGTTACAAATAGCAAGATCTCTTATCTCTAAAAAGATGATAGAGAAAAGCGTCCACTGTTTGTTGTCATATGGCTTACTATTATATTTATCATATGACTGTAGAAATGTTCCTTCCTGATCACTGATGTCAGGTTGATGGAATAGTAATTACTGCACGTTGTTTATTGACTTTTATGTATTTGAGTGTAATATTGGCCATTTTCCGATCTGAGAGAAGAGTTCCTTCTTCCAGTGATTTGTTTTAGCTCAGTTCCAATGATGTTAACAACTCATTTAAAGTTTCTTTTCACACTTTCGAGTGGATATTATCCTGACCTGGAGATTTGGAGCTATTGATTGCTTTGACTGCATTTACAATTTCCTCTTTGTTCTTATTGGGAAATGGAATATTTATCAGAAACTTTTCTCATACATTACTAAAAACAAAAGATCTGTACTTTGGAAATGTTCCTGATGTCCTTCTATTTCATTAACCAGCTTTCATATTTCAGGTTGAGCTTCTTTGTGTTTGGTTAACCTTTTTTATATTATTATTTTTTGACACAGGCTGTGAACATTTTGAAAAGAAACACAACCATCGACATGCAAGTCCGTTTTTTCCCATATGGTAAGTGATAGGAAAAGATTAGACTGTTTTGAGGATTTTTATGCAATATCTTATTGCACACTTCTCCATGTTATAATGCTAATATCAAACAAATATGTGTGCAAAGCAGAGTAGAATATAAGTTAAGTTTATAAAGGAAACCTGGTAATACACGAAGACAGAAATGATTTTATAGCTGTCTTGTCTTTGCGGACACCAAACCATGGTGTATCTATGGAATGATGTGGCTCTAACTTAAAAAATATCTTACATAAACAGGCACTCATTTTGAAGTGTTTGAGTCCTGATCTGGCAAAAGATTATGAAATATTTCATATTGAGGATTTGATTTATAGAAAAAATGTCCAAGTTTAATGAAAAAAATGACATGATTTTAGAAAACTTGCTGTGTTTGAACATAAAATATTTCTCTGTTACTAACATACCATAATAATGATAATGAAATTGTATTTTACGACCAAGATTTCATGAGAGTATCAAAATGAAGTTAGGATTGTGAGAAAGGAAGGTAGCATTATTCAAAATTTAATGAAAACAGCTGAGAACAGAGCATTTCCGGAGCAAATCTCCAGGGCTGTTAAAGACTATTCCATGAAACTTTCAACACACATCATTCAAGTGGTGTAGTAGTGCCTTTTAATGTGGAACAGTTTTCAGTTTCTTGGATTTATGCATCTCCAGAGCATATGTTCTGGAAACTTCCTAAGCACATCAATCTTGGTCTAGTAGTGCCTTCTGCTGTAGAGATTTTCTTTGATTACCATGGAAACATCGAGTCTTTCTCACTTATTCCAGCATTATTATCTCCAAAACTCTTAAAAAATAACTTTAATCACCATTTCTGTTCCATCTCTCATGCTGACTATTACCCCTAAACATCCAATTAAATAATCTAATTAAAATAAAAGATATGTGTATCACACCTGTGAATTCCTTGGCGGGGGATTCAGTTTACTGCAACGTTTTTTATTCTCTGTTTTAGGGTATGACAGAACCTACGACAAGAGTCGATACTTACTAGCAAATCACCAACAGACACCAAATAGTAATCATTAGTATCTCAAAACCTGGAAACGACTTCTAACATCACAGATGTGTTAAATTTCTGTATGGATTTGGTGGTATTTGGTTCACTTAATCAACTCTAAAAAATTGTATTCATTGTGTGCAAGTTTCTCAGAAAACGTAAAATATTAAGTTGGATCATAGGGTGTCCAACACTGAAAATGACAAAACTAGAGATCAGAATTTTCCAATTTTTGGTTGGAAAACATGAATTGTTTTTAATTTTGAGAAATAGTAATAATATATATGCATGTAACTGCTCCAATAATGGTAAAATTCAGTTGAAAAATTGTATGCTTCTTAAAGTGCACGTTATAGTATGAAACAGGGTCTTAATTTCTGAAGCATAAAGAAAAATATGTGCTTTGGGACTTACAATTTGTTACAATTGAAGACCAGGATTTTAGTAAAATCCTTACTTTCAATGGCCTTGGTCTAGTTATACTGTTTAAATGTGTTATTAAAAGTGTATTATTATGTTATGTATAAATAAATGTGATAGTCTACAAAATATTTTTCAGACCGATTCATGTTCAAATCGATGATGACTTGTACTATAATGGATGCAAATCCACTGAAAGATGATGATTTAAATTTTGTGATAGCAGTTCCCTGTACAATGACTCTTGTTATTTTCATATTCAAAACTACAAACAAAGTATGCATATCATGGGATTCCATTTCATAGCCTCAAGTACATGGTACTATTTGTAAAACAGTTCTCATTCTCATTTATGTTTCATAATTCTTATTTCAATGTTCCTTTTGATAATACTGATTTGGAAATGAAAACATAATAAGATATTTATTTTTGAATTAAAAGAAATGTGTGATTTTCTGCAAAAAATAAAATCTAAGTAAATGTATCATTTTATGAAACAAACATTATATAAGACATTGTCTATCTGTACATGTATAGCATACTGAAGTATAATTGAAATTGTCAGATCATTAAAAATGTTTTTGTTGCATTGATAGAAACATGTTTTTAACATAGTCTTAGTCATATTTTGTTAATAAACAAGAAATGAATGTGTTGTGTAAAATTGAATACTTGTTACTTTAACATATATCCATGTGCACAGACAAACAATTTACACATGTTCTGTACAGTTAACATGGTTTTAAGAAAGTACAAAGGATGTAATTTTTGCTAGACTTTTTCTCATTCCATACAAGTGTACAGCACCTGTTAATGTTTCTGTTGAAATCTACAGGATTTCAAACTTTACTAATGGATTTTTCAGTAATGATATTATTTGTAAGTCACCAATTTCAGTTCATAGAAAGGTCATGCAGTCATGTAAACCTATTATTCAGTAATTTACGCATGTTTCAAAATGAATTTTTATGGGCAGTGTTTTTTTTAATGTACACCATTTTTGAGTCTTTACAAAGTTATATATACAAATTATGATGTTTAAGTCTGTTCTGATATGAAGTTTTGATAATTATTTGTATAAAACATACTTGCTATTATTGCAGACATGTTATCTTGTTCCTCATATTATATGACATTCCCTTTCTTCACTGTATGTTGATTTTGGGTGTCAATTGTATATACAATACATGTATGATTTATACATCTGTCATAATGTACCGATACATTTTCAATGTAATTATGATAAGCCATCAGCTTTCAGAGTTCATAGGACAAAAGTTCCAAGGTATAAAATGTTATATGTGTGCCTGTCAAGGGTTCCAACAGACATTCAGCCCTTCAGTTTTTATTCTTGATATTTGACAGTAAAACTGTAAACAAACCATGATTTCTTTATGTATGGTAAAGATATGAAATGGAAATATTGTTATAGCTTACTTCCTGGTGCAGCGTTGATAGTTTGTTTAAGGACTTCTCAATGATCTAAAGGATCAGAGACATTGTTTTTGGCTTGAACGTTTCTTGAGAGAAACCAAATAAAAATTGGCAAAAAGAAATGACTAGGACCTGTATTCAAGGTACTGGGTTAGATTTGTTGAAATATTCAACCAGCTTCTTTTGATTTGCTAAAAGGCTTTGAATTTAAATACTTGTTTGATACTTTCCTGGAATAAAAGCCCAACAAAGTGTGCGAAAAGAAATTACATATTCAAGGTAACAGTGGTCAAATTTGTTAAAACAATTCCTCCCAATACCCAAAAGTCCTAGAATCATTGGAAAGTGAGCAGTTCAGATTGGGTTGTTTTTCCTCTGGTGTGTCCCTTAATGAACAGTCTTTCATATCACTATTTCTTGAGATATTTCTCGGATTTCACATATATGTTCTCCTCTGTCCGTAGTTGTGTCCATATAATTTTGAAATGTGATCAGTGAAACAGATGGCTTACAGGTGGCTGTCTTGAATTTTGTTAAACTATTTCTTGTGAAGTATTGGGGGACTGTTTCTCAGAATTGAGAAGTAGGCATATTTTTTCTCTCTCGGTATAGTTGTGCCAATTCAATTTTAAGTGTGATCAGTGAAACAAGATGGTTTTCTGTTAGCCGTCATGTTTCACTAATCAAACTTTTGACCGTTGAAGATTGTTATCACTTTTTCTTGAGAAGTACTTAAGGTTTCACAGACTTGATGTATGTGTTCCCCATGGTCAATATATGTGCGCCCTTCGATTGTCGGCTCGAAAATCAAAATGGCTGACCAACGACAATTTTTTTATTCTAACAGTTGAAGTTTGTTATTGGTATTTCTCAGAAAGTTCTTGTCGGATGTTTCTTAGATTTCATATGTAGGATATTTTTGTAATGAAATATGATTAAGAGGGAGAAGGAAAAACGGGAAACGTAGAGGAATTATCAGTCTTGTATAGAACTTCTAAAGATTAGTGTTGTGACATATTTCAAGTTATATAAATGCATAAATAGCTTGCTGCAGTTGTAATATATTTTTTGTATTATCTTGCATAATATTTTTTATAGAATTAAATAAGTACAAATGTATTGAATTGCAATCTTTTATTTTTTGTTACATTTTTAGTTTACATTTCACAAAATTCCAGTGACCATGTTTTTTAGTGATAGATCAATCCACTGCACTACATATAGTATAGAACATACACATAGAACTCCAGTTCTCCTATTTTACCAGTACCTCGATGGAGTGCAATAAGGATTCTTAAATAAATGACCTTAACCCATTGTTAAGGTCACAAGGGTTAAGTATGTTTTAAGTTTTAAGAATGTTCGTCACCAGTTCACGAAACCCATAGAGCTGATATTTGGTCTACAGCCAACTTTGTGGCGTGTTATGAATTAAGTGTTCTCACAGATATGGCCTTACAAGAATGCCAGTATCCTTGGGTGATGAGAAATCATTTTTATATAAACCGCGGTCTGAGCCCACCTGGGGCAGGAGAGTGGGGGTTAATAGGGTACGAGAGTAAATTATTCAAAATACTTCTCCTTCTGTAGAAATGCATTATTCTGTCCCCGGTTTTGTCCAAGCATCCTTAAATGAAGGAGATTTTCATGTAAATGGTTTGGCTGACCCCCTGGAGGTAGAGGGCTGGGGACCAATGGAGAGATAGTTACGATTTTCACAATGTCAGCCAAACAAAACCAGATTAGCGATACAGACCCTATGGACTTCTTTAAATGATTCTCGGCTAAAATTTTGTTGAGAACATTTCTGTGTGATGTTGGAGAGAGGGATGGAGAGAGAGTACTAGACTTTCTCTTAGTCGTGCGTGGAGAACAAAACCTATGAAGGAACCATTTTTTTTCTCGTTTCCTTCATTTTACGTAATTTTTAGTATGATTCATTAGATGTTTAAAACCAATGCATCAATCGGTTCCGTCAAATGAAAAGCGAAAAACGGCAAAATGTCTTCTATATATCCCTCTTGCATGTTGGAATATCGGAATATGTCGATAACATTCGGAATATGTCGATAACTGTCAGAATTTCCGTTAACTATGGGATTTAATCGATGACAATTGGATTATGTCTGAAACTGTCGGAATTTGTCGTTAACCGTCGGAATTGTCTATTTTCCGGTTTAAGTCGTTCTGTTTACTGCTTCCCTCTTTTTGTCATTCTTCTGAGAAAATAAACCCATGGCGTTCTTATGTCTGTTAATTTGGAATGGATGACCCCACTATTTATTGCTTACACCTGACCCAAGTCCGTGTCGCTTATCATGTCAGTGACTTCGTTCCAACAACTACTTCAATAAACGTATAGTTAGGTACAAAAACTCCACAAACACCTTGGATGAGTAAGCGTGTCCGGGTTGAGGTCAGAATAACTTTTACTGTGTAAACGTATTAACAAACTCATGGACACTACTCCAATACAGTCATCGTAAACCAACATTTATTTTTCTTATTTTTATTGTGTCCATGAGAAATGCTATATACCTTAAAAACCCCTACCATTTTTTTCACAATTCTGGATCCACCACTGGTATTCCAAAAATGTATACACTCACCTACATTCAAGTAAACAACAGATAGTTGCTGAAAGCAATAGACATCGGTACATAATGTATTTTTGGTGAATTTGCAGAAGAAGGCAATCTCCTTTTCGGCATTCACTAGTCAGCGTAATGTTAAAAAGAAGAATTTCCCAACCAGCAATTTGTTGACAGGTTCCTTACCTTATCTTCAGAAGACACTTCATTCCCTTAAATCCCGCAAGACTAGTAACACGTTTGATTAAAACCTGAGCATTTTATCATAAAAAAGGCTTACTGAGAGAGGTCTGTCATTAGCATGTAACCGTATTTGATGAAGGCTTTGCTTAATTCATTCGCGATGACTCAGATGGTTTTCATATTACGTACATCCGATTTGAATTTCGTGAAACCTACTTGCTATTATGCATCCTTCTGCGACTGTACAATGGTGGAAATTCAACATTTGTTTGATAAAAGTGAAAAAAAGGAATGCTGTACTTTTCACAGCCTCAATATCTGAGTAGTCACTAAATATCACAGAGAAAAACGCAACATATAATTACACATTTCTACCTAAATGCTATATATTCCTACAGCCGGATCTGGTGATAATGAAAATAAGGGAAATAATGAAAATGTATTTCAAGACGTGACGTCATGAGATTAGTCTCCCAACTCCGTGCCTAACTTTATAAACGTTATCACGATTAAACCAAATGTAGTGTATCTGTTCAGTGATTTACCGATTACTGGTAAATTCACCACACCGATACCAAGGCCTAACATATAAGGTTTGGTGTAGGTGGGAGACACATAAATTTAACACCCGTTGATTTAATGAAAGTCATCGTTCATGTAGAGAAAACAATACTCCTTGCTGGCATTCCGATTGTTAGTAAATATGTGTATAAAAAATGGAAATAATTTTTTTCTTTTTATTTCTTTCCTTTTTTTGTAATCAAATCGACTGTATAGGAACGGTAAAGTTGAAATTTAATGATTCACCTCTCTTCTACATAGTTGATTGCTTCCTGTATTACCTTTTTTTCTCCTTTACTTTCTAGTCTTATCGGTATCCAACCAGTGCAAAGAGTTGAACGAATTTCTTTGTTCATATGTACCTATGCCATGGTCTAACGAAATCAAACTTGCTAGGCATTCTTCAAAACATCGATAGACAACATGTTTGCATATTTCGACGTGGGATATCTTCTTAAACAAGATATAAAAGAGAAATAAACGACGACGGGTTGATCTTAATATCAATAGGAGAGTTGGCCATCTTAAAAATAAGATAGATAAAAATTAAACTCACAAATATAAGATATAATAAGAACGCTCTTTATTCAAACGGTTGTGCAATTATTTCAGTATAAAACTTTGGAATCGGGAAAACTTATGTTATCATGGTTCTAATATGTGAATATTTGAGGTGAATTTGAAGGATTTCTCTAAAACCTTAATAAATAATGAGACAGTGACCGCAGGCTAACTATATACATGGATACTTGATTCCAAATGTTCCAAATGAAGAAAAGTTAACTG